CACGACCAAAATTTCACAGATCTCCAGAAGTTCAACTATCTGCTTAGCTCGCTAAGTGGGGAGGCGAAACAATCGGTTTCGCGATTCTTCGTATCGGCCAGCAACTATGAGAAAGCCGTGGAACACCTGACTAAGCGATATGGAAATAAAAGCGGGATAGTGAGGCAGCTGAACAAAAACCTGAAGAACTGTTCAGCAAGAGGTCCTAGCACGTTGGAGCAAAGGCAATTATGGAACCAGCTAAGCACAATAGCAACACAGCTGCAAGAACACGAGCAGCAATTGGATAATGAACTGACAATCGAGACTTTTTTGGATAAATTCCATGTACGCATACGAAGAGCGGCGTTGGAAAAACAGCTGAAAAACGAAGATCGTCAGGAATGGACACTGAACCAATGGCTAGACGCCATTGACGAGCTAATTTCTCAAGAAGAAGAACTGAACGATAGATTCTCGGCAGAAGCTCGACAATATAGAAGAAGCACAGAGCCGAGAAGTGGAGGAACACAAAGCATAGGGTGCGAGCGCTGTGGACGAAGTGGACACAGATGGACATTCTGCCCAGACATTCCCACAGCAGCACAAAAGAAAAGGTTCCTCCTTGAATCCAACAGGTGCCTCAATTGTGGGTCTGCGAATCATAGAGTGGCGTCGTGCCCAAGCGTCAACTGCAGAAAGTGCCACAAAAAGCACCACACAGCAATATGCTCGGTGAGCAAGCTAAGAGAGCCAGGCTATCCACAGCCGAAGCAGGTTAAACGATTTTACAAGAAGGAGACCATTGGTCCAATTCTGCGCAACATTCGTCTCGGCTATGATGTCCTTCTGAATGAAGAATCGGAGGAAGTTCATGACGTGAAAGGGGAATTACTAAGAGGCACAGGCAAAGAGGCCCAGTTGGTGAAAGAAATGACGGAAGGAATAAAATTACTCATAGATGAACTTCACCGACAACGAGGCGATAGACAAGGGAGTGGACACGGAGCGTCTGATTGGCAGATGAAGGAGATCAGAGATTCGATCGCAGGATTGAAAGATGAAATGAGACGCCAGAGGCAGGACCACGAGTGGCGTAATAGCGGACGAAACGAAGGATCTCTCAACGAAATCAGAGAGATGATAGCGCAGTTGACACAAGACATCCGCGGACAGCATGAAGAAACCAGAAGCTGGATTCAGACTTTATACCTGGACATTCAGAACCAGTTGACACAGAATAGAGAAAGATGCCTGCAAGCAATAAAAGAGGAAACACAAGCAGAGCACAGAAACGTTCATCAGAAGCTGCGTTGCCTGGAGCAGCAGATCCTCGGACTAGGAGCACAGATGAAAGAAGAAGCCGAAAGGATGGGTCGAGAGTCAGCAAGGCTGCTAAGACAAGTTAAGGATGTAACTGTAGGAAGGGAGGTCAGAGCAACCGCGAACGACTCTCAAAGATACAGCAGCGGAGATGAGAGGCACGGACACAGCTCCGAAGATCGGAAGCGAAAAAGACCAGTGCCGAAGAGTCCGGCTACTCAAAGGAAACACAAATACGAGGAACTCTTCATTGAACACCAAGAAGAATGGGACAAAGTGCAAAAAGAGATGCAAAATCTCTCATGCCCAGAACGTCGGTTGGGCGATAGGGGTACCACTGGCGCACTCATGTGCATATACTGCAAGGAGGCAGGAAAACACTTCTCAGACGCGTGTCCAAGGGTAACCTCAGTCACGGATCGAATTTCACTACTGGACCGCGAAAGCCGTTGCCATCAATGCCTGAATCAACACCCGGATGCCTGTCTCAGACCATCTCAATGTTTCTACTGCACAAGATCAGGACGAGGAAGCGCAAACGACCACCATGTGAGTATCTGTTCACTCCCGGATAAAGTGGAACAGTTGCGACAGCGTCGTAAAGAAATCGAAAACCGAATTGACGAGTGCAGGGAAGAGTTGCGCAAGATGGAAACCGAAAGAGGGAGCGAGCATAGGGAGTTGACGCACAGTAAGGAGAATTCTAATCCCTCTTCTCGTCGTTGAGGCCGGAGTATACGAACTTTCGCAGTTCGTATGTTCTTTGCGCCTGATATGAGTCACAGCAATCAACATCTGGCGCAGAGCTACAGCTGACTATCTGTGGAATGTGGAGGCTGAGCTAAAAGCGTATAAAAGAAGATAGAAGCAGTTTAGAGAAACATTTTCGTAGAATGCCATGTTGCAATTCCTCCCTTTCAATTTTATTTCTCAATGTAGCTAATCTTCCACTTCTTCATCATTTCTCATTCTTATAATTGCTTTTAGCTCACCGTTGACATTTTGCTCCTTTCGCTCAGATGCATAGCAATCACCGATTTTAGTGGCATGTTATGCGTTCTCCATAGATTCACAGATAGCTTCTATATAGTTAAAGTCACAGGCATATTCTAGGCTTAGTCACAGGTCTGTTTATTTGTTGGATTCCAGAATGCTTATAGTTGCTCATTATTTATGCTCATTACTGTTCATTATCGATTGCTTGTAGAGTCGCGTTTATGTGTTGATAAATTTTCTAATAAAGGTTTAATTACCCAAGTTTGAGGTACTGTGCGCGCAGTGCAACAAACAATCAAAGTCCCGCGTGGCAACAAACAAAAACGTACAGTCCGATATAAGACACCGAACCTCCGTACAAGTACTGCATTTATGGAAAATGGAAGAAAAACCATGGAATCGAATCCACATTGACTATGCGGGACCACTAAATGGAAAGATGTATCTCGTCATAGTCGATGCGTACTCAAAATGGCCGGAAGTGCTAGAAATGTCGTCATCGTCGACTGCTGCAAACTTGAAGGAACCCAGACTACTCTTCGCAAGATTTGGAAATCCGCGAGTAACCGTGTCGGACAATGGAACACAGTTTACGGCAAAGGAATTCCAAGACTTCTGCGAAGAGCAAGGAATCAAGCATATGCGCTCGCCTCCGTTCCATCTACAATCGAATGGTCAAGCCGAGAGGTCTGTGGATATCTTCAAGAGAACTTTTCAGAAAATCAAGGAGGGAGGGACGGCACAGAAGCTAGCAGAATTTTTGCGATGCTATCGAAGAACGCCCTCGACGTCTACCCCTGGACAACTTTCGCCGGCCGAACTGCTACTGGGACGTAAGATGAGGACACCGCTGTCGCTGTTAGATGAAGATTCCAAAGAAGAAGGAAAGGTGGCAAATGAAACCATGGAGAAGCAGTTTAAAAGTCATCATGGAGCACGGAAGAAAGCGTACCAACCACAAGAAGACGTGTGGGTACGTGATTTTCGCTCTGGATGTGAAAAATGGATTCCAGCGCGTGTGAAGAAACGCTACGGAAAAGCCGTATACGATGTGCTTACGGAAGACAACCAGTTATGGAGACGACATGCGAACCAGATGCGCAGTGGATCAAGTATGGATCGCCGTCGTGACTCATCGCACACCATGCGTTCCGAAGAAGGCCGATTGGACAATGGTATGGACATCGCTGAACACCATGCAACGTCAACTACGTCATCAACCAGACCAAGTCGCCATCGTCGCCCACCAGAACGTCTGCAAGTAGATCCTTATTGTAAGATGTACCGTTGTTCATCTTAGGAGGGAGGTGTTGTAGAGCCGTCTTTTATATTGAACTTGCTCGCTCACTATAGGCTAGGTCGATATGGTCTCTGTAGTTGCGGCGTACCCGCCGCACTTTGATATAGTTGTGTGTTGTTATGGAACTATTCCTAGTGAACCCTCGGCATGTACGCCGATAGGCAGAGGAGGAACTCTTGTGTTTTTCTAATAAATCGTCAACAACTCAACGCGTTCTACTACAAAAAGCTAATGTCACATTATAGACGCCATTTATGAACGTCGTTCGAGTAGATCAAAGGGTAAGGACAATCGAATCGAGACAATCATCTATTCTTTGTCAGACATCCTTCCTAGACAAAAGAGAAGTCGAGTGAAGTATTTTACTCGACCTCACCTCGTTTCCATAGTAAGAATCTCTACAAACATAACCTCACAAATAAATACAAAAAAAAAACACAAATGAAGAAAAGGGAGTCACCAAGAATAAGCTCACAACTAGAAATCATTTGGGTGAAGGAAAGTTGTATATCATGATTTCGTACAAATGCTATTGCTCTCAGACAAGAAATAAGCAACAATGACGAATCTGGGATTATTATACTCTTAATGAAAAATCCTAGGAAAATAAAACAAGAAAAAAGACAACCATATGTTTTGAAATGTCATGCAGATGGGGGTACATATACAGGACGGGAAAGGGTACATTAAGTATTTGTTATGATCATCTTAGTCATCATATGCAATCTGCAGTAGGTTTCAGGAGTAAGAAATGGCATGGCTAAACCATATGGAAGATTGCGAGTAAACAGAGTGAACTGGTCCCCACAGCAGTGTAGCAACAATCCGAATGCGACGGGTTTAGGACGATTCACAAGACAGTGATGCTTTCCACGACCACCGCCACGCGCGACACCCTGCGGCGGCTTTTGTCTAAGCAAAGCAGGAGAAGTAAGGATTTGCGGGTGGTCACGTGTTAAGACAAGTTAAAATCAGGGAGGCGCTGGAGACCGTCAAGACCGTCTCCCGAGGTTGCCTTTCATAAAATTGCAGTATGCTGCACAATTCATGCAGCACCCAAAGTGGTGCTGCAGCTGCATGTAGTTGGGCACTACGACGCAACTGCAAATTCTTCTGCACGGTGTTGCTGGTTCGTTGTCGTGCACCCAAACAGTGCAGCATAATGTGTAGTTGCATCAGAAACATTATTGTATGGTAGTGCACGACAACGAACCAGCACTACCGTGCAGAAGAATTTGCAGTTGCATCGTAGTGCCCAACTACATGCAGCTGCAGCGCAGCTTTGTTGTTGTATGGTAGTGCAAGATGCACGCAGTTGCACCGCTTATCCAGCATTTGCAAGAGTTGTCTTTCGCCTGCATGCAGTGCACAACTCGTGCAACACTCAAACAGTGCAACAATACTGTACAATTGCATGCAATAACACCATGCAAAAGCATTTGCAGTTGCTTTCAGTGCAGCATTAGCCTGTTGTTGCATGGTGGTGCAGGATACCACGTAGTTGCACGGCATACCTAGCATCTGCATCATGTCTGCGCACGTTACATCACATTCAAAGTCACTAATGCTGGGTGTGTTGCTACATCGTTGCTAGAGACCACATAGGGAAAATTTTGAAAACGTACTACAACTAGAACCTGTGGCATCTGTTTTTTTACTTTCACAAATCCTGACTATAACATTAACAGCTTCTGTGAATCATTTTTATAAGGCAATGGTTACGTCTTAGTGCCTTCCTCTAGGGCAAACAGTACACCTTGATAGGTAACGCCGTTGATTTCCATGGAGACGACCATAGAGTTATCGGATTGTTGGCCTTCTAAAATGAGAAACCTTGCAATTGTATGCGCCCGTACGAAAATTACTTAAAACTATCTGCAAGAGAATTTCTACATCTGCAACACTCATATCAGATTCAGACGCGATATATTGCTTCTCATACGGTACGTTTGCTTATCACATAAAATTACAGCTAACAACAAAAATGGTCTACAAACAAAAGTTGCCGCATTCATTTGTAAAAGCGCAGAAGAAAGTCAAAAGATGGAAATATATGTTGGTGTCTCTTGTAATTACGGATTTAGATGTGTTGACTTATTGTGTACATGAAAACCACAATTAATGAATAGTAGTAAAGTGCTCACCTGGTTTTCTAGTTGTAATCTTCATCTGCCCTCCTGTTGGAGGTGCATCCGCAGGTTCAGAAAGTCGTGCCCGTTTTGCTGGAGCTTCTGAGTCAACAGACGACGGTGAGGCCCGTCCGGATGGTGCTAACGGTAATCCACCATGTCGAGCAACAGCCTCAGCAGCCGCTCTGGATATACTTTTATTGATTTCAAAATGATGCTTTCGGCTTGATTACCGCTGTGCCCTTTCCATTTGTCGTTGTTGTGCTTCGAACATCGCCATTTGCTCGGCTCGATATGCGGCAAGGAGATTATTTTGCGGTAATGACATACTCAACCCGTTTTCATCGTCCAAAAAGTCTGAAAAACCGATCTGACGAATGTAGGCGCGTTCAAATGGTTATACATCAACTTTTAGCCCTCAAAATATTCACCAGTTCTCATTCCTAGTCCATTAAACGGCTTTCCGAGAAGATTAGCTGCCGACGAGGCATGCGGCAATGGGTATCCGAGAGGCCCAAAATTTGGCGCTGAAGCGTTACGACGGCCTAAACTCTAGTGTTAAGAAGACATAGCAGAATTCGGAATTCTCAATGTCTACCTTCTCGTCTATTTCCATCAATGGCTGCTTGGAGATCTGACGGATTCGATAATGCTTCCTTTTCACATTCATAGTCGTATAAATATTTCTGATATCTAAATTGAATATCTTAAGGTGAGAATGTCCAAGATAACATAATGCTTATTGCTTACTGTGTACGAAGAGTAAATGCAGCAGAAGTAATGCTGGAGGGTAGATTAAGGCCTTTAGTGATTTCTCTCCAAAGCTTCTTGTTAATGATTTCCACAAGGCCTCCGTGCTGTACCACCAAGCGATATAATTCATATAAATCTAGCACTTGCTTAGCCATAATCGGAATTCGGGTTACTGGTTTACCTGCAAGAATGAGTACTTGCTGGCAAGTTTTCTTCCAGAAAAAGGAACCACTGCTTTTACCCTTTTTCTCCATAAAAGCAAATGATACGATGAAAGTTCCTGGCCCAATTCCCTCCCTTCCCCTCCGCTTTCAAATGTATTACGCCAAAAATAACTCCTACGAAAACTCAATCGATCAAAAGCTGGCTCTTAAGCTGCGGCCGATGAGCGCGAAAGAACGATCTGATCGGTCGAGAACTACTTGTCAAACAATCAGAACATAATCAGAAGCTCAATGTTTGCGCAGCGCCGAGTGCGAGGAGAGCTGTCGACTCGATCTCTTCATATTTGATTGGTCTGTGATGTTGGCCCTAAGCGAATAAGTCGCACACACACTCGACGACGCGCGAGGTACACAACGAAGCTTATCGATACCGTATCACATGCGCACGATGCGCTGAACAAGCTAGATGTTCCCCAACCGAATAAAAATCTTGAATATGCTTGACTTAGGCTTCATAACTTCAATTTTTATGATAGGTCGCTACAGAAATTGCGAAATTCGGTGGTTGGTTTCTGGGCTGACGAAAAACCGAAAAGTATCAGAAGACCTACCAATCCTGTGCATGAAGCTCAGCCAATCATCCAACCATTCCTTTCTTTTCGCATCATCAGAAAGTTCATATAGCTAAAATGTATAGTTTTTTTTATTGTAAATTCAAGTTTAGAAGTAATTGAAAGCATGGGGAATGGTATAACCGAACAACAACTTCCTTTTCATATCATAATCAAATTGTTTATATTCAGCTCTGGAGCTGGCTCGTCTCCAAACAGAAGACTCAATATCCCCTTCTAGCGAACTTTTTCGTAGTTATATGAACAATTATTCCACTCAAGTAAAGTTCCTGCTCTAGTTTGACTCTCCCTCCCCGCAAAGCTAATCATCTTTCAGCCTCCGCCATACCATCATAGTTTCCCCCCTGCCATTATTATATAGCGGATAATTTCACCGCAACCGATGGAGAAGCAAAAGAAAGCAATCATATTCGGGAGACGAAATGCAATTTGCAATGTGCGCCACAACGTCAATTAGTGGCTTGGCTATAAGAGGCGCATGAGCGCAATAGTGTTGAGTTGAGAGGCTACGGTAGGATTACGATACATTTGTGATGAGACACTTACGTCCCATTAGAGCGAGCGAGGTTATGTCGAGCCCCGATGTGAAAAGCGCAGCAGTAAATCGATACGCGTTTGTTTTCACTGAGGCAAATTGAAGCTTATAGATATGAAAAAGCAAGAAAAAACACATATAATTTTCGTAAAGATTCGCAGTATTCGAAACCATTTTCTCCCTTCAATTTGAAAGGCGCAGATCTCCATTACTCCCCAATAGTTTCTCAGTAATTCAAATCAAATGCGAAGCGTCTAATGGCGTTGTCTTAATCAACAGTCATAAATCATTGGCTCATGAGTATTATCCTTATGTCCATAAGTTGTAAAGGAGACCAAGCTAGCATTAATGACTGCTCATAAGCAGATGCGTCAAGAGACAACAGAGACTCAGTCTTGCATAAACAGTATTAGAACCATTATTCAAAGAGAGTTTCGATATTTTCAGGAACATGTGGAATCTCTACAAAAATGAGCTCTTTCCAGTGTTAATCAGATTAAAACGGCATTTTTTGTTTTTGTAATTTTTAAACATCAAAGAAAAATTCGTGAATCATTGCCACTTGGATCTTTCATATTTTATGCCAGTAGCGGAATGAACTCTGCTTTTTTGGGCCGCCCCCGCGGACTACTGGTCCCGCGAAAGGACCAGTTGTCCTCGAAATATGTCCAAAATTGCGGAGTTCGTTCCTCTCCCTTTATGGGCAGCAAATATTCAGAAAGCCCTGTTTTTCTCCCTAAATTACCATCAGGTCCCTTACCATCAAGTTTTCACCCTCTCCCCTCGCCCCCCCCCCCCATACAAGCAATTAATTTCCTATACCTCCCTCAGTGGCAGGTGTCATGGAGGGACTTATTATCCGTGTACTGGGGGCCTCAGCTCTAACGTGAATGCAACAATACGTCCATCGCATCCGCAGCGCACTCGACAAAAAGCCTTGTGAATCATGCATGTCCGCCGCGATTTACTATGAAAACAATCGCGTGAATTCCGTCAGCCAGCGAATAATCCGATTACGGTAGCATCAACGCCACAATGCTGCTGCCCAGCGGCTGCATACGATACCCTGCACATGCTTCGTTATGCATGAGTATTTGAGAGCATAAAACGCTTTGCGAGAAAAGTACAAAACATTGAAAAGCTATGCGAGATGCAAATCTTTGGCTAATATGAAGGAGTGCTGGAAGTTTGAGTAGAGTGGGAAAGTTCTCAATTTAGCACACAAGAAAATAAGACCCTTGATTAATCTACTAAAAAATCACCTTTTTACAGATTAAAATCTCGAATAGATTGTCAAACATAGATGAGGACTATTTATACTATCCTGTTCATCATTTCTCAAAGTTGACGTTCTAAGCAAATGAACGTTTTCAATATCGAAAAATACCAAATTTCATCATTTAGATCTAATCGTTGCGAGTTTTACCTGCTTAAACTGCTCCTCATACGACCATGATGGTCCACCACCTAACGACCCTCCACCATCGCCATGCTGATCCTCTGTTTTGCTGTCTTTCCGAAAGCTAAAGAGATTGAAAAAATTTAGAGCACTGAGAACTCAAAAGTTGCCGATTTCGCCAAATTTCCCTACCTCATGGTCAAGTCTTCGGGTTCAGTTGCAGCACCATTTTCATTTTCTTCCTCATCCTCTGGTCCTGGCGACACTCCGCTCAATCCGCTAGTCAAGCCGAGTAATTGCTGCTAAACACTATCAATTTTTTTCTACATCATCCAGAGCTAACCGAAAGCTAAATGTCCACACCTGCAGGGCCAGTGGATTTTGCTGCAGGGCGGCAAGAAATGGAGGTAAGACGTTCATGTTGAAGGCTGAGCGAAACCCTCCCAACCCTTAAAAATTCACATTTTCGTTATTTCTCTAATGGTAAAATTTTCAACCTACCCAAACTAGATGTGAATCTTTGGAAGGCCTTCTGTTGCGCTTCAATATCAAATGTGTTATTCGTGGGTGTTTCGGGAGAGGGTGAACCTCCATTTGTTGTAGGCTATAATAAATTTCAGATGTTTAGAAACTTAAAAATCATTCATATTATAAAACTGCTTTGCCGAATTTGTCATTGAAGTCAAATTTCCGCATTGTACTTGATACCCCCTTGGCCTACGAAATACCCAAAATCAAAGCAAATATGTACAAAACTTCAAACTAGCAATCGCACATTTGCCGACTAAATTTTGGGAGAAAAACTATTTTGAACAGCTTCCACATCATGGCGCATCATATCATCATTTTATCCCTACCAACTTGCCATTTGTCATGACATGAATGATCCAATCAAACGGAAGTTATAGCTGTGCATTTCCTGCATACTTCCTTGCGAAGTAAGCCATGTTATGGCCGAACTACACAAAAAAACTATCTCCTCACATCTTACGTTGTTGATATGAACAGGTGCCAGCTGTCAAGATACCGACTGATAGCCGTTGCGATCGGAATAAATCATGTTTGATGAGATAGACATCATTGAACTTTTTATTACGAGCCGCCCGAGAATTTCATACTAATGTGCTTGTTACCAGAGATTCATCGGTAGGGGAAATGCGGAGAGTAAGAACTTCAAATAAAATTGAGTCTTACAGAAACTGACCAAATTGAAGTAGTCTTTTTTCAGAAACAATGAATTCTAAGGGTCACCGGTCCAGATCAAATTCCTGAATTTCTGGTTAAAACAAGATCCAAACACATGCGGCCCTGCCCATTTCAACAATTTGGTCGCTTTGATATTCTTCAACCTACAAGTAACCTTACTTCCCTTTCTAGCTAATGTCCCAATTGAGATAAGTCTAATGGTATCGTAGTCTCAGCATTTCTTGGCTGTCGCCGAGATTAGCATGTGTATGTAAATATAAGTAGAAGAACTTGCCAATTATGTAAACTTACAAAGCACCGATGTCCATGAGAAAAAGGCCAAAACAAAGGCGAAAGCGGTGGAATAAAAACGACTCTTATGGAGGCTACCGAGGCAACGGCTTTTGCAAAATTTTGAAATTCTGATAATTCAGAATTTTTTCTGCTACCGGGTACATACCTCATTGCTTGCACTGCTTTCAACTGCATTATCTTCATTCTTCATATTCAATTGTAATGCTGAAGTAAACATTGAAGAGTCGTCTATTCGTAACGACATCCTGAAAAATTTCAATAAAAGTGGGTTGTAATAATCTCGTGGAATTGAACTTCACGATGATACTTTTGCAAAAAAAACATAACGCATGAAATTGTCTTCCCCTCGCATTTGAAAACTTCACAGATTCCGAATATTTCTTGGGCAAAAAGTAGCCCTAGCATAGGGCTGGCCGGATCGAGCGGCGATGCTATATATCTTAGCGATAACGCTCTCGTGCACCCCATTCTTCAACTGCATATGTTCTGAATGATGAAAATACGCGTCAAAAACGCGAACATTTAGTATCGGACTGATATTCGGCGATTGGCGAGCGCTTAATTGTGAACACATGTTCGCGCAGGGGGGGGGGGGGGGGGGGGGGGTCTAAAGAAGAGAACGGGCGGATCGTCGATCTCCCTGCACCGCTCGAGACAGAGAGCACTCCGATCCGCCGCAGAATTACATAAACTAAAGATTTATGGTCATTTAAGAAGAGTCAAGCGCTGACAACGATAACATTCGAATGGATGAACTTAATTGCTAACCTAACTTCGCTCTGATGTGATGCGCGACCGCAGCGCAGTTTTCTTGATTCAGTTCATGTATAACCAGCGAAAGCAAACAAATTCTAGTCTTCATGGTAAGAACTTCTGCACTTTCTGTAAAGAGATCACATACAAAAGCTGTAGGACCTAGGTCGATTGATTCTTTCTTCAGTCATTCTGCACAAGAGCGCATGTAGACTATTTTATTGATAAGGATTTCAAGTAATTAAGCCTGTCTGGCCTTGCCCAGATGGAGAAATTCATTTGAGCTAAACATACGCAGGTGGCGCTTCAATTTAACATAAACCGAAAAAGTGGAAAAAAGTCATAAGAAAGACACTTTTCACGGATATCGCTTAGTTGCCAATTTTCTGGAAAATCCATCATTTTTGACAGATCTTCCCCCAAAAAATCTTCGTTGGATTTCAAGCCCTTCTCACGTAATCGCTTCATTGTTTTTACTGCCTCTTTGACAGGCATTACTTTCGTTTGGCAGACGCCTAACATAGTCGAGGCTTTATCGAAAATCCAAGCATAGAATGAAAATAAACATTTGCGAAAAAATGCGAGGAAGTGAGAATTTTATGTTTATTTTGGATATTTATGAGTTTGCGCTTTTTGCCTGATCCACAAGTTCCAGATCAACTCGAAGTGACAGAAGATAAATGAGGATACAACAGAATAGAGCTCGTAGAACACAAAAGCAGGCAAGTCGCACAAAGATATATTGACTAAACGGCGATGTTCAAAAAAAACGTAGCAGAAGTGCTCGATTGATTAACGAATATTACAGCTTTCAGCGACGCGGTCCGAGCAGAAAAAAGGACGAGGATCAAATTGTTGGGCGGGACATGATTTGGAGTTTTGGATCGTCGGCTTTAACAACACACTCGCACACTTCCGAAACACAACTGTTCGGCATATCCTCGATCAGGCTCGTTACGCTATAAAGAAACGAACACATGAGGAGCACCGCACGAGCTTCATATCGGGGCGGCAAAAACGGAAATCGCCCGGCGAGTTGAAGTGTGCGGGCCAAAAGGCCCCCACTTTGTGACCGCTCTTGCCGGCATTTCATAAGAGAAGAATTTTCTAAAAGCTGGTCCTGACAAGCTCCGCCCCTAGATGGAAAATCCAGTAATAGACGGGTTATTTCCAGAATCAGCGCACAACCAGCTTCGATTGCTTCTGGGCCTAAGAGTAGAATAATAACATCATACAGCTATATTTTCCTTCAGATCAAAAAATTTCTTTAGCAAATGAAATTCATCACACATCCACTACAATTGGGAATCGTTGCTTGGTAACTTATCAGGATTCACGAACAGTTCTAAGGACCTCGTAAGCAGTTCAGATGAGAATGAACTTTGCCAAAATTTCCAAAAAACCGAACCTGAGTAGGCCTTATATTGGCTACTTTTGTCGATGATCCTATCTAATTCAATTAATTAAATTAGATACATTATTGTGAGAATAACATAGGAAAATACGTAATATCTTCATGGAGACAAAAACAGAGCTTATAACCTAAACTTATTGACTCAATATGAGATTGAGATCATCAGCAGGAGATACCCCATTTATCAAGTCACAGAATGCAGCAAGCTAAATCTGGTTGATGGGATACAACAATTTTAAGAACATTTTAACACAGCGCTAGCCCTTGAAGTTTTCTTTTCGTGTAAAATCGCAAGAGCTGACGATAAACAAACACTGCTAAAATCAGCAACTAATTTTGGCGGCTATGATTGAACTGTAAAGAAAGAGCGAACTTCAAGTGGCACATAGACTTTTGGAAACTCTTTGAACACACTCAAGGATAAAGCGGTTTATTTTGAAAGCACAAATGTAGCAGGATGTGGATAACATTTAAGAAGGCCAGTTTACAGCGCTTGAGGTACCCAGATTCAACAACTACCATAAAGAAGTGAAGCATGCAAGAACAAAATTCCACAACCGACTAGTAATAGCTTTTCAGATACGGTACGATTTTGCCCCCCCCCCCCCCTTGTGTGTATACCGTTCAGTGGCTCAGGGCGCGAAGACGAGCACGATATAAATTCCTGTTGCGCGAAGGGTGATGGTGGTGCTGAGGTGAGCAAACACATATACACAGATGCAGTGTGCGTATGTGCAGAAGAGGGATCGGACAAGATCAGCGCTTGAAATTATGGGAAAAGCGCAGTATGGCATTTCAAGCAAGAAGAAATTGCGAAGAACTTTAAGTGAGTCGGCTCCGTATCATCGTGAAGTCAAACGATCTCGGCCACGATTAGGAACTTACACCACAGAGCTCAGACAAAAACAAAGTTCTTCTCTTCTTTTTAAACTTAATTTGCAAAATGAAGCAAAGCAAATCTGTTCCAAATAAATTCTTGAATCCTCCAACAATCGCTTAGCACAAAACAATTTTATAAAGTCCATAACAGCAGAAAGACACAAAGTTCACTATCAGACAACTTTAGATTAGATTGGAACAAACGAAATGCTATCTAACGAGCTGTCCGCTACAGTAATCCCGAGTCTATCAGGCGGCGAATGCGTAATAGTAGTGTCACATGGGGGATGGCCTCATTTCATGTGCGCCCGCACGGCCGCGATTGGCCGGCACCGCCCATCTTTAATGAAGGTATAGATGCGATCGCTTGAACGAGGTAGCCATTTCAGCAGTTCTGATGAGGTCTACGCTTTGTTTTCGTCTCGACGCACATTAGAGACTTGTGCGCATAAAGGTACATATGCAGCGAACTTTTTGATGAGCTAGATTCTTTTAGAGCAAAACCTTATGCTTTTTTCTCAACAGCAAAAAAGTAGAGAGTAGTAAAAAGCACCAAAATAAAGGTGACTTATTCTGAACCTCCACTCGCTGCCAGCACATCGCCGGTTTTTTTTTCGTTAGCGCTAACATGCTCGACTTGCTCAGCACTCATTTGATGTGCACATAATGTGATGATGTTCATGGCTTCGCACTAGCTATCCACCAAAACAGCAAGAGGCGCCAGGCTCTCTTTACCTAGAAGCAAATTATCCGCAGCCACTCAATAGCGCATCTCGAATTTCTCCACCGCTCATTGTATAGGCTGGGGAAAAGCTAAGCTGCGCCACTAAAGAGCGCATACAACAACACAATCACCTCCGTGCACTCACAGCTTCGAGTAAAATGGGCTCAACAAACAATAGTGCGAAGAACATCTATTACTGGAGTTTTTCTCTGCTTTGACTGATGCAGGGATAAAGCGATTATTGGGGTGATATTTCGGTAAAACAAAGGACAAAAGCAACTTTCAGCAGCATTGTGCAGCAGATAAGTGTTTTGGCATACCGATACTTTTCTGAGCCGAAGTCATCGCTATAAAACAACAACAACAATAAAAAGAAGGAGCGACATTGCCACCGCTCAGGTAGTGAGCAACGACAATACGGCACTAATTCCTATAAGCAACAAGAAAACGACATATACAAAGTGAGCAACGATAAAACAATATTGTTCGGTAGTGAACAACAACAACAATAGTAAACATTGAGCAGTCAGGATACTATCTACTAGTGAGCAACGACGACACTCATCTAGTGATGAGCAACGACATGGCACTGATATTCAGTGAGCAACGACATTTTTCGTAGTAGCGAGCAACGACAATGCAACAACAAGCTCAAAGTAGTGAGCAGCGACGATGCAACTCAAGCTATCTTATGGAGCAAAGCTTTTCTCTTTAATGTTTTTGCTAAGCACTTACTGATTGACGCAAATTTTGCTATTTCAATCGATAAATGGATGTCTTAAACTACTTACATCATATCGCATTTGAAGCGAAGATAATAAGCTATGTAGTTTGCTGTGAGCAAAAGCTGAAAAATTCTGGTGTTGAAATGGGGGAAGCTTTGCATTCCTTGAAATGGCGTACGGTTTGAACTATTTATTTGTAGAACAGTTCTTATAATTCCAAAGGTAACTTTCAAACGGACAAGTAGGCAAGATGACCAATGTGAGAAATGCGTTGTTGAGAACGATACAGGAGTACTGTGACCGACATTTGGCGACCCACAATCTAGCAATGAATGGTGAGCAATAATGAAAGAGAAAATGGTTTCATGACAAAACCACTAATAATCCTTATTTAGAGTTACAAAGTTGTTTGAACGGCTTTTTGATGTAGACGCAGAACATCTCTGTTAAGCTTAAGAGGGAAGATTTCTCTAGTGAACTCTCGCCGTGATACGGTGTGATGCAGTGCTAGTTGTGTGAAAAAGCTGTCGGGTACCTGCTTCACCGGTATCACGGACAGGTTCACGAGGTGGTGGTTTCTGCACTCAAAACAAGTGAAAAAACCTCAATGCTGTCAAGAATGCAAGCATAATCGGCTTCGGCCTTTCTTTGGAGTCAAAACCCGCATCTACCTCATCGTGCAGCTTGATTTGACGATGTTTAAAGCAGCCAATCAGTGATGAACACATTCAACGGGATTTTTAGGGAAGA